TTTTAAATTTATAAATCATGGTGGTCCCACATGTTTTTATTTTATGCAAATTAAGATATTGGTACTTATGAAAATGCAGGGACTAGATGACCTCTCTTTCATCATACACACAATGGGTAAAGTGATAAGCTGCTAAGGTGGTAGATACAACACTGTAGATGGAAAAAAGGACTAAGTAACTTCAAAAGAAAAGTCTCACATTCTTATTCCTTAATACTAGTATAAAAGATCGATATTTAAAGTCAGCACTCTGAAGCAAATGAGTGGATAGGTCTTCTGGGAGTATAAATGATCATATTTTTATTGATCTATTTCACAAATTTAGATTTTCATCCATTTATTAGAAGAGAATTTATTGAGTACCTGTTTTCTAGGTGACGCCATGCTCTAGGGTTTTATTAAAATGAGACTCACTTGTATTATTTTGATGCAAGAGGAGTGGTTGAAATTTTCTTTCTTCCTCCAAGTACTTAAAGATCAGGCCTAAAAATGGACAAATTGCCTCCAGAAACTTTACAAGAATATACCAACAATTTCATTGGTGGAAAGAATTAACAGATGATGTTTGGCCAGTGCAGCTGAGAAGACTGCTTTCCTGAAGAATGATGTGATTATTTTCCATTAGATTCTCAAAATATAACTCAATGATATCAATTTTAAATAAATAAAATCCAGGATGTTCACACTTTCAGGAAGGATTAATGTTCTGTAGCTCTATCGATCTTCCGCACTCTTAAAAGTATCTGGGGTAATCATTAACAACATTTTGTTCTGATCCACTTACCTGTCATCTCAGGCTCTCCCAGCTCTGTACAAATACATTTGCCTTTTATTCGTCATGCTTATTCTATAGATAAAGACTGAATATTACTGGCATTTACAACTGGAAGATTTAAGATTTTTTAAAAATTAGATTAAATATACCTTTTAAATAAGGTGTGGTGGGGCCGGGGATTTACCTCAGTGGTTCCGGCACCTGCCTTGCAAGCACAAGGTCCTGAGTTTGATCCCTGGTACCAAAAATAAATAAATAAATAAATAAATAAATAAATAAATAAATAAATAAATAAGGTGTAGAGTTGATCTTCAAGAAAAAAAAATGATCTTCTCTTTTTCTGAAAATACTCAGAAGATTCTGCCTATGATTGTGTAGCATAAGGCAAGGGCAACAATTCAAGAAACCATTGTAAAAATGTACAATTTAGGCTTAGCTCAGTGGTGGCGTCACTTGCCTTGCAAGTGCAAGGTCCTGAGTTCGATCCCCAGTACCAAAAAAAAAAAAAAAATGTACAACTCACTCAGGAAAGGAGAACATTTTAATTCCTAAGAAGTACAGTCCAATGAGTGATTATTGCTAACCATGTATTTATTGTATTTGTGTAAATTCATGTTTTCATGGCACTGTCACATGTACTGTCTCATTTACCATATGAACAAGACATGTATTTGTTCACTTGACAATTTTGTGAATCCCTATTAAGAGCTAGACATCACACTCCCTACTGGAGACACAAAGATGAATAAAACAAATTCTCAGTGAGCTTACTTTCTAGTTGAGAAATAAAATGAAAGCTATTAGATAATTATAAGATGTTATAATACAGATATGATAAAACACTAAAGCAATACAGGGTTACCTGTGTAATAGGTTCATTTTACAGAAAAGAAAACTGATAAAATGCATTAATATTAATATTACTGGGCAGTTTTTACAATGAAATTAGAACCTGTATTAAATTATTTAGCATAACATTGGCCTATAGTAAGAACTCTATAAATATTATTAGAAAAGAATAGCACAGAGTTGTAGTTTGGTGCATGGGTCTGTATCAAATTTTTTGAATCCTAGCTACTTCCTAGTTTGTGTGGCCTCAGGAAAGTTACATTATCAATCTAGATCACTGATAGTGAACTTTTTAGAGCTTTCAATGATAACAAACAGCCCACTGCATCATGCATGCCATAGGTTCACCACCACTGATCTAGATCTTAGTTTTGCCAGGGCTAAGATAGAGGTAACAATTACAACCATTACCCAGGCTGTTGTTTTAAGGATTAATTTGTCATACATGCTCAAAAAGTGATACCCATGGTAAGGATCAAAGCTAGGAGGAAGTCTGAAAACTTTATATCATATCAAAAATCTAGTTGACTTCTTATGAAAGAGCTATTTTTGGCCCTGAAGAGTAAGATATCCTTAAATTTTACCACAGGGAACAAAACCCTCCACTAAAGAATTCAAGGTAGGAGCAGGCAGCAAAGCATATTTGGCATCTTGAGCAGCAGGGGAAAAAACTAGTGAAGGAAAAGCCAAAAAGGGAGAAGAGAGCAAGGAAAGTAGTTTGGGTAAAGGTAATGGGGTTTGGACAGTGGTTGGATTGGACAAGACAGAGAGAAATGGATTTTTAAAAATTCTTTTATTGGTACATTTTAGGTATACAATACATTTACATTTATCATTGGGTGCTTGTACCTGTACATGATATATCTTAGTTCTTATTTAGAGGGAAATGGATTTGAGAAAAGAAGAAGGGCATAGCATCCACACATTTTGTACTTTTTCTAGCATTAGATGAGAAATAATCTTCCTAATATGTCCCATCCATATTTTGCTAGGTCAGGGCATTTTTAGTAAAATAATTCCTGCTGGGTGTGGTGGCACATGCCTGTAATCCCAGCACTTGGGAGGCTGGGGTAGGAGGATCACTGTGAATTTGAGGCCAGCCTGGGCTATACACACACACACACACACACACACACACACATAGTTCAGGGCCAGCCTGAACTACAAAGGGAGACCCTGCCTCAAAAAACCAAAAAAAGAATTTTTTTCCTAAAATGTTATTAATAGATCTTAACTAAATTAGAGCATACACAATAGTCTAATAATACCTTTGATGGTATTTGGGGGAAAGCATGCTCTTTTCTTTCGTTCAGATCCTACAAAGCAATTGTTGGATATGAAGTGTTGGACATAAAATTTTATTCCATAAGATGTTTCATGATACTGAGGAGGTTTTCATGTTTGCTGCTTTTTAAAATTCTTTCTTTTTTTAATGGGTGATTTACATGTTTTTTTCTGCATCCAAGGGATAAATATTATACATCCATCACTATAGCCCAATATTACATTTTCCGGGAATGAAGGAGTTTTGATCTGTGATCTAAGTGCTGCCAGTTCAGAGGATCTCTTCTCTTGTCACAGACAGGATCTAAAGCCTTTCCAGAAGTAAACATCCTAACTAGAGTCACCAAGGAGCTGATGAAAATGTGAGTATCACAACTACGACCCTCTTCAGCTGGAAGGAGCCAGACTGATCTTCGCCCTTGGCCCTCTTACAGCAGTTAGGGGTACTTCTTCAGAGGGGGGAATATGGCAGATAGGTAGCTTAATTAGATATTTTGTAGGCAGTTAGATAGGGCCCGCCCACGAGGAGCTAACATGGAGGAGAGTGAAGACACAATCACTGAAGGCCAGAATTGTGAAAGAAGAGAAACTATCATACCCATGTAGGATGAATAGCAGTAACTGATATTCTAAGTAGGTATCAATCACCTGGGTGGGGGCCAAGGTCTTAACCCAGCCTTTCCAGGAAATATCCCTGACCCCCACCCTTACTGAAAATCCTTGTATGTTTGCTATGTGACTTGCTCCCCCATTTGACCCCCATTTAATCAGTATTACCTGGGTGACTGTACTTGTAATCTTATTGGTTGGTCATAGTTTTGTCCCACCTCATGTATTTCCATTGGGTCTTATAGTTTTGTCCCACTTTGTACCCGCCTCACCACATGGTTTTGCTGTATAAAACATCTTTGAAAAGTGGAATGGGTGGACAACCCACTTTCTGGTCCCTCTTCTGTCTCTCTTAGGCAGAAATTTTCTTTTTCTCAATAAATTTTTCCTACTCTTAAAAAAAAAAGTGAATATATTTCACTGTTCAAGTGGCTAGCTCCTGTGAAAGAATGTAGATGTTGCCTCTTTTCTTTATTATCTTTCTGATAATATTGGTTATTTTGTAAGCTAATTTGTTACATTAGGGAACATTTAGAGAAAAAGTTTGTTACATTAATTATGTATAATTACAAATTTCTGATACATCTTTATCACTGGGATGACTCAGAACTTGTGTAGCATGCCTAGGCCAGTCCAGATCCTTGACAGTGAGACATAATCTAATAACAAAGGTCCAGTGGGTACTCTCTGAAAAGGTGTTTCCTCTCTGTTCTGTTAGCTATTGAATACAGTCTTTGCATACTTAGATAAATAGCATTCAAAATGGAAATGGAAATTTTATTCCAAGTTATGTGCTATGCTTTGCATATAGAACAAAAAGTTGTTTAAATGTATGTAGAAAATTCAAATATACTTCTCCCTTCAGAAGATTATTCTGAGAACAAAGGTCTAGTTTGAGACTAGATAGAAAGGCCAAAAACATATTCTCTGTTATGCTGCTTAGTCCTGCTCCCAGTCCACTCATCCCAATCAACCCCCTCATTAATGAGTTCTCACAGTACTTGAACATGATGGAATAAGAGTGGTATTTCAACAAAAGATCAAATGCTTAGAAATTCCCTCCAACAAACAGGTTATTCTTTCATTCCTATATCAATAAGCCAGCAAAGACAAAACCATATTTGAACTGGCAAAGCCACCTGTGTTTTCAGATTCTGTGAAAAAAATAGAAAGAAAAAAGAATTCTTCCATATTCTTTTTGCAGTTTTCCGTAAGAGTACTTATTACATGTTTCTTTTTTTTTTTTCAAAAAAAGATTTATTTTGTGTTAGAGTTCAGGTCATGAGGTTGGCATGGCAGAGGTGCACAGCAGCAGGGAAACAGCTCCTGGCCTTGCTGTGGAAAACAGAGACAGATTAATGGAGGAGAGAGGGAGATAGAGGCTTCTAGGCCACGCCTCCAGTGACCCACCTCCTCTGACCAGGCTTCACCTCCCAGCCTCACAGTGAGCTACATACTCAGTGGACAAATCCACTGATGAGTGTCATGCTCCCTTGATCCAGTCTCCTGCTGAAAGCCCCACCTGTGAGGACAGGAAAATTTGAGAGAACACCTAGATTAAAAAAATATGGTTGCTGGGTTGGGGATGCACAACCAATGGCATCTAATGCTAGTTTGATCTTGATACTCCTCTGTGACTTCCCAGTTCCCACTGGGCTCCAGTGTATACAGTTGGCAAATCATGCACCAATCACAGGAGTAGGTACAGATCTGGACCCTAAGGGATGGCCTTATGTGTGTCAGTACCTGTTCTAATTCCGCACAGACCCAGGGAAATTGCTCAGGGTGCACAAACTTTGCTGGAATCTTGGAGTCATAGCTTTCCAAGGGGGCAGGATACAGCTTGTAGGTTAACTGGCTCAGTCCAGCACACAGGTGCAGCAGGACCTGGAGGATGCCCAGGGAAATACGGTTCCCATAGCAACTGAAGGTCTTGAGCTGGGAGCAGCGGCTCAGGGCAGGCAAGATGGCAAGGAGCTGGGAGTCTGTGATGTCACAGTTCTCTAGGACCAGGGTCTCCAGAGTTTTGGCCAGTTTGTCTAGCAGAACCTGGAGGGTCTCCAGGTTGAATGATTTCATTGAGAACTTCCTCAGACTCAGGGACTTCAGCTGGCTTGTGCTTGGACATGCTTTAGGTCAGATTCCTTTAGTGGACTTGAACTCAAGGAGAGGGCCTCCAAGGGGGTCTGACTCCTTAAGATTTTATGCAGAGTTCCTTTCAGGAAGAATACATCATCTATATGAAGCTCCTGGAGACTTTGCATCTGTCCTAAGTGAAAAGAGTAGATGTGGGAACACCACTTGTTTTTCCAGGCTGAAGTATACACTTCTGGGCTCAGGCTGCTGAAGTGAAATGTGCGAAGGTTCATCATCTTCTTGAGCTGAGGAAAAAATGCTTTCATGCTTTCCTGACCCCAGTGACTGAACACATCCAGCTCCTGGATAGAGTCCAGTTGCATAGCACGAAGAAGCTCCAGGATTGTAAAGACAGCTTTGGAATTGATCATCATCTTCTCACAGCACAGGTGTACTGAAGCTTTTCTCTTCCTGGCCCACTTCAAGAGACAGAGTTGCAATTCATCACGGGTGGCACAAGACCTACTCCAGGCTTCAAAACAAAGGTGTGCGAGGATTGTCAAGGTCGGCTTCTTCTTCCTCAACCCAGGCTTGCCTGCTTCCTTACTGCTGGCATCTTCTGAGTGAGCAGCACTCATGGCTCTGGGCTCTACAGTCCAGAAGTCCCAGTGTGCATCCCTCCAATCCAGCACCTGCAGACTCCGCTTGCTGTGGTAAACCTTTTGGGACAGCTGCAAGTCAAGTCCATCCAGTAGGGCTTCCAAGGTCTGTAGGTTTCTCTGTTGCAGTGTGATTTTCCCCAGCTGAGTGTATAGAGTCCTTGGTTTCCTCAAATCCATCAGGCTCCTCAAAGGGAGGCAGAGGAATGGCCAGGCCTGCACCATCACCTTCAGGACCTCATTCATTGTGTTTCCCCATGAAGGGCTCCATGAATATTTCATGGAAGATCAGGGTGGGCAGGTCGTGCAGAGCAGTGCTGGTTGTGGTCTCACTTTTCAGCAGCCTCTTCTTGGTCAGCTCGTACAGAGTCAGTGGGCTTTGTGTACTCATCCTGAGAAACCTGCGAGGAGAAGGATCCAGGTAGAGACGGGGATGGTGGGGCTCCAGGATCCTGGTGGCACCAAGCGGTGACTGAAAGCTCCAAGACTGAGCCATTACATGTTTCTATATGAGGATAGCAGAATGTTTAGAGTGGTCATTGCTTGGCATTGGAAGGGCAGTGCCTTGGGGTCTTCCTCTGGTTCAAGCTGGAAAAACAACTGTTCTTTTAGTTTTCAGTGTAATAACTTGGCTCAAACCATGCCATGAGTTACTTTTGCATGAAATCTGTCATAAAAAATTACTGTACAATTCTCCACTGGCAGTGAGCATCAGCATAAGCTAATGCAAGCAAGTTATGAAAGTTAAAGAGCAGAGAATTGGGTGTGAAAAAAATATTAACAGGTATGTCCATCTGACCTCTGTAACTGTAAAACTTCTGCAGAATAAAGCCAATTTTGTCAAGGTTACTTACTTCTCAGAAAAAGTTTTTTCAGCTTCAACAAAAATACCCAAGAAACAAAATGAGGGCCAAAAAAGAGGTGTTTCATTTTTTACCACCTGCAAGAGGTAGGATTTTCAATCCAAGGCGAGTTTCCCAGGTTCTTATTCCTCGACTAAAGGCACTACTCTGTTTCAAGGGCCTCAGACAAAGGAGATATTTGGGGAATGACTGATTCCCCCACATCACCAATATTTCCTTGAGAACTCTTTCTTTGTGGCTTTTATTGAAAGAATCACAAGAACCTGCTTGTTCCCCGGACAGTTGCTCCTCAAGCCTCAGAACATAAAAACTCCTGTTAGCATTAAAAGGGGCCAGTGCCTTCAGAAAGCCTTGTATACACATGCTGCCTATGACAATGAATACCAGATGCTAGACATTCAGATGAGCCCTCCCAATCTCCACAGTGATCTCTATTGGGAGAGGTTAGATAGCTCACTGCATTTCTTCAGAGCACAGACTTTGAAGTTAAGACTTGGCCTCATCACTTGCTAAGTGTGTGATTCTGGTCAACTTACATTTACACAGTGGCCTTTTTCAGAATACTCTTGAGAAACACAATAAAGTGACAGGGACAAAGAAACCGCTTATTGAAATGGAAAAACAAAATGGTGGGCTACTAGCTCACTACCAGGAAATTAGTCCACAATTTCTGAGTGACTGTGGCAGCAGGCTAAGAAGGTCAATTTATAGTTTCTTATCTATGAAATCAGGGTGATACTGAAAGTATCCAAGTGCTCAGCACAGTGGCTGACACATAGAAAGAGCCCAGTACATATTAGGCATTTTCCCCCTTATCCCAAAAGATGTTTACTTTTTTCCTTTTCATGGTCCTCATGAGACACTGGCAACTAAATGATAAAAAGGGTCTGAGATCATCATCCAAGAGTATGGGGTTGTGCATGACTGAGGTATTCTTTATCTTTAGTTTGCAGCAAGAAGGAAAAGAACCACAAAACACTCTGCAATGGAAGCCCTAGACCACAGAATCACTCAGGGACCCCACTTATGGTTTACTGTGACAAGGTTCTGTGGATGCTGTTGTGTCACATTTCCATGAGTTCCCAGTCAGGGTGTGCAGCCACTGGCATATGGCCAGACACTTCTCTTGTCTAAGAAATACTGTTTCTCCTTTCTCCCTGATAACGAAACTCCAAATGTGATCAGGTTGTTGGCAGAGATCCCCTGATTTCAGGAAGGTTAGGCTACTGTCTCAGCAAAAAAGAATGAGCTGAAGTTGGTCTAACTCTGTCCTAGTAATTACTTTCCCTTCTTTAGGAATTGGCTAAAGAGTGACCACATGATACCATCCTGGCCAATGAGATCTAGGGAAGTACTCAGGAAAGTTCTTTTCCTAAATAAAAAGACAAGGGTGCACAAAGATGAAGCCTCAAACAATCTCCTTTCTATTCTGAACTTGGATGTAATGGCAGGAGCAACAGCAACTATAATATGACCAGGAAATTGACAACAAATTTGTCCCTAAAAATCATTAGATCTCTGAACCAGTATAGGCAATTGTCTACCTCCACACTTCTTGTTATATAAGAAACAGAAGCCCCAGATGTTTAAACCTCTACAGATGAGTTTTCTATTTCTTGCAGTCAAATGTATTCTAAAGCACTGCTGAAAGATAAAGCCATTTTTCTTACTTGACTTTATTTGAACAAAAATTCTAATAATCAACCACAAGAAACCAATCTGTCAATCACCTGCTTTAATATCAAAGGAAACAGTCATGTTTTATAGTAAGTATTTTGCATTAAATTGGCTTATAAATTGAAAACACAGGTTAAATGGAAAAGTAAAAATGAAATGCAATTGGTTACATACTTGCTTCCATCTATCCCTCTGCTGTAGTTAGTTCAAACAGACATAAAGAGATACCACTCCATCATTTTTCCCATTAAGTTTATTGGTACATTTTAGGTATACAGTACAGTTACATTCATCGTTGGGATCTTGTACCTGTACATGATGTATATTGGTTCTTATTTTTTCCCCATTCCCCTGGCCTCTCTTCACCCCCTCCACCCTTCCCTATTTACAGAGACTCTGTTTCCATTTTTTCCCCCACTCCATCATTTTTGACAGAGCCACATTAATGATGCAAAATGTGTGCTGAAGTTTTGTCACGAGTTGAGTTTCGTGCCTCGGAGAAGGATGAGCCAATTGTGTGTATATGGTCTTCTGTGTCATCTGCCACCATACTAGTCTGATGCCCTCTCAGATGTCAGTTGCTGCAAGCAATAATTGTCATTATTATTCTAATGCCTTACCTGTTGATGCTGTTTGACAGTATTTCAGAGTGCTTTCATGTCAGTTCTCTTCTTAAAGGCTCAAAACTTGCCAGTTACTAGCCATGTCACCCCCCACAGAAAATTGCTACAGAGCCTGAGGGAGGGAATCCTCATTTTGAGGAAGTGTCATTTTCCTTTTCCCCTAGGTCCAGCTCTGCTGCAGGCACCAATGACCTCCTACTTAGCACCACTGCTGAGTCAATTGTGATCCAGTAGCAAGTGAGTTGAGGTGACACTCTTGTTGCCCAGAGCAAAGTAAGAATCCCACGCCTGCATATGGCCCTCTGGTCCTCTGTGCTAGTGCTCCCCAACAACAATCAGGCCTGTGCAGTTGTTTCCTAATGTGATATCAAAATCTCTTGTTGGAAAAAGTTCTATTCATCTCTAGGGTCTGTTTCAAAAACTACCAATCTCTTATACTCACAAACTGAATTTCTGTCCTAAACTGGGTCGATCTCACACTAAAACACAAGCAATAGGAAATTAGAGAACTTAATCCTACTTGATGAAACTATCCCTAGCAGCTGCCCTACATGAAACAGCCAGAAATAATTTCCAGACCACAGAACGGCTGAGTTTTTAGTCATGGCAGATCCCTGCTGACATCCCACCAGGTGTGTTTGATGGCTCCCCTCTACTCCACACCAGATGCCTCTGGACGGCAATCTCCTTTCTCTCACTTTGGGATGGCTAGAGGGGAATTAGAGCAAATTAACCTAATTACTTTCAATTTTAAAAAATCAAATGTGGAGACTTGAATTTCCATTCATTTACTGAGCAATTATTTACCTCCTACTACATGTTGACAGTGTACCAGACTCTCCGGATATGTGACAAATATTGGAGCTCTCACCTTCATGGAGCATAAAGAAGAGCCAGGCAGAACAGCAGTAATCAGACAAATAAATATATAATTACAAGTCATAAAAATGCATCATGAGAGATTATAACATAAAGACTCGATTTAGACGAGCACTGAGTGGCTGATCGAGCTAGGCCATGAGAATCAGAGACTTTTACAGAAAAGTGACACTTAAAAGCAGGGGAAGGCCTTGGATGGTTTCATGCATGATCTGCAAACATTAAGGTTTCATAGTGACTGAATAAAAGGAAGGAAACATTAGCAGGGAAAAAGTAGGTCCACATAAAGGTTACTTGAGGTGTCTTGGTCTATAGATGCAGTGGTTCAGACAACAAAAATAGAACTGATAACATTTATTTGGAGGCAAAATCAATAGAACTTGGTGGTGATCACCAGGTGCGTCGTAAGTGGGAAAATCAGGAATGGGTGACTTGCATAGCAAGTCATTCCATGGAGAGGTATTTACTCCGATGGGGAAAAATGGAGCAACGAACCAAGGAGAGAAGACAGTTCTGGAAGTTCTCTCAGCGTGAGCAAGCTTTTACAACATTTCAAGCGGAGACAAAGGTAGACATTTTTATATACAGGTCTGGACCTCAGAAGAGAAGTCACAGAGATAAAAAAAATCACAGAATTTGAGATGAAAAATGGAAAATGGAAGAAGAAGCTCCTCAAAAATACAGGCTAAGAGTTTTTAAAATGTAATGCTTTACCGGCAAATAAACATATGAAAAAATGTTCAACATCACTGGTCATTCGAGAGATGCAGATGAAAACAACATTGAGATTCCACCTCACCCCAGAAAGAATGGCTGCTATCAAGAAATCAACAAATAATAAATGCTGGCAGGGGTGTGAGGAGAAAGGAACCCTTCTCCATTGTTGGTGGGAGTATAGACTGGTGCAACCACTGTGGAAATCAGTATGGAGATATCTCAAAGAACTAGGATGCATTTGACCCAGCTATTCGCCTGCTGGGTATCTTCCCAAAAGAATTAAAAGAATCACACCACAGTGATATATGCACACCCATGTTTATAGTGGCACAGTTTGTAATAGCTAAAATTTGGAGACAGCCCAATTGCCCATCAACTGGAGACTGGATAAAGAAGATGTGGCTTTTTTATACAATGGAGT